GGTTGGTCCTATTTTGTTGTTGCTGTTGTAATGCAGTGGTTGCCAAGTTTGGGAACCACTGTTGTAATGGGACAACAGAAGACCAAAAATTTGGAGGCGAATTAATAGCTTCCTAAGCATGACCCAGGTTCCAAACTGTCAGTGAAAATTATTTTGTGGACACTGCTATCCTTCATCCTCCTTTTCATCCTGTTTTGCAGCCCAAAGAGACTCACAAGCAAGGCAAAGTGGTACAATAATTAGTAACAGAGCACACAATTAAGAAGTAACAATGTGTTCCAAAGCTTTTTATAGTTGCATTATAATGGTCAGTCTCCACATTTTCTTCAATATGCCAATGAATCTCATCTATTAATACCTCTTGCATAGAACAGCTGGAAGAAACCATATCTGGCTGAAGATATCTGGCTAAATCTGGGTCACCCAAAAATCAGTTTGGTATTTGAGAAGGCAACAATGGATGCTTGTATTGGAGGGCAGAGGATGTTAGGAAAGAGCAGGAACGTGGGTAAATAACTAAGGTTTCTTAGCTTTGCTTTACCCTTGGCACTTTGGAGGATTTGAAGTTTTATCATTGGTTTTGTGAACCACCTAGAACAGCCTTTCACATCTGTAGCTCTACTGAACCCTACAGTTATGCAAGAGACCATGAACAAAAACTCCCTTTTTAATTGCATGGCTAACACTCCAAGTGGTGGGAAAGTTTATGTGCCATGCCTCAACTTACCAAACTTGCTAATATATCATGAACTATAGATGTAATCATTTTTTATGCAGGAGCTCACTGATACCTGAAATTATTTCAAGGGCCCCACCCGTGTGGACACAACTCCCAGAATTCCTCAGCCAGCCAGGCTTCTGGAGTTTTATAATGCAACGCTATGTAAATAAATATATTTTAAAATGTGGCAGGAACACAGGATGCGTAAGCTTGTTTATGAGACTATACGAGGTCCTGCCAAGTTGAAACAAGAATAAGGCTTTGCTTTTAGTGCCATCCCTGACAGTCCCTCTCTGCATCCACACGTTGAGGGATTCAGTTTGCAAAGGAATTGATCAGATGCCCAAATCCCTTGGCTCCTGAATAAGTTACTTCTTTACAAATGACTGTGCTCAACACATGAATGATGAATACTATGACGGCCAGAAAAAGAAAAGGAGCATTGTAGCTTCCAGAGATCCAGAAGCCAAGCCAAGAGATAGAAAAAAAAGGGGCTAACACTTGAGTACTTATCTCAGCCAATTTAAACAAAGCAACTGTATAACAGAAAAGCAATGGTGGAAAATGAGACAACGCCTTCCCAGTGAGATTTTATGGACTCCCCAAGATACACAAACTAGGGGTCCCCCTCACACCTATTGTAGTGCTAGGGGATATTCCTACCTACAGTTTGGCTAAATGGCTGGCACAATGATTAAGCTTCTTGACGTCATCCTCAAACATTACAGCCACATCATCCACATAATTTTTGACACAGCTACGAAGCTTACGCGGCTATGAGGCTCCTTATGAAATCATGATCTCTTTTGACGTAGTGACCCTATTTACATCCATCCCTCCCCACTTAGCATACAAAGTGATAAACAGAAAACTAGAAGATTACAACACAGATCAAAACAACGTAACCGGGACAAAAATCACTCTATTTATACTTCTTCATGTTTAAAAGAGAAATGAGCAAATAAAAGGGACATCATGGGATCCTCAATATCAAGAGGTATTGCAGAAACAGTCCCACATAACTGGAACACAGTGCATTTTAAAACACCTAAAGTTTGGTACCATTATATGGATGACACATCTGTGGTTATCAAAGAAATGAGCTGAAAGACTTTTATACCCTATTAAATTCTATCTTCCTGGTCATATGATTCACAATGGTGGAAGAAAACATGCTTAGACATGCTTATCAACAGATGAAAGGTGGAACCTTAGAAACCATAGTATATTGCAAGACTACCAACACTCCAGGCATTCTGAGTAACCATCCACAACGGTAACCATCCACTGTCACATAAAAAGACCTGCATTAGAGCACTGTATGGCAGGGTGTGAACACAGTGTACTATCCAGCAAGCAAAACATCTGGGAGTAGGTACCTACGTGAACAATTTAGTCAGAATGGGTGTCCACAAACATTTGTCATAAGGTGCCCATGCAATATGCTGGGGAGAGAAAGGAAGAAAGAAGGCAAAAGGCCAACTACATGGTACACCCTACCATACATTAAAAACATTTCAGAAGTAGAATCCAACTTTTGAGATCAGCAAATTATCCACATTATCCACCATCCAGAGCCTACCAAATGAGGACAAATAATACAAAGACTGTTTGGAGCTGGAGAAACTTTGAATGCAGTTTACCAGAGTCCCTATATGGATTGCCCCTATGACAGAGGAAGCTAATTACCAGATTGCAAGAACACAAGTGAGTGGTTAGATGAGGAGAGCCAAACTCATTGATAGTGTCGTGTTGCATGCTTCCAATTTTTTAGCTACTATAATTGTTGGCCAAGCAAGGACAAAAAGAGCCAGAGAAATCATTGAAGCCTGGGAGACAGGCCTTTGTCAGTCAATAGGAATGCTAAATTACCACCAGCCTATCAGGTCCTTAGAAGCTGAAGGCATAACATCATAAGAAACAACCATTAAAAAGTTAATAGCTAGCCATCAACACCTTAATAAACAACTAAAAGCTACACACAACCAGGAACCATATAAATATAATACACAGAACAGCCCAGTGGATATATTGTGGAGAGAGAGAAAATCCCTGATGATGGACTCTAGCAGGAGCCTGAAAGCTTGGAAAAATAAATCTTTGGTCCCAGAGACCAACTCAAATTGGACCCTGCAACATTATCCTAGGGCTCATATATTTACGTTAGTTCACATTAATTATTTCTCCTGCAATAAAACTATCAATGATGGGAGAACTCTGAGCAAGAACTTTTAGTTCCCTCTCCTCCCCATAGTAAAAGAGAAATGAAGATAACAAAAAAGGCCCTTCTGATTCAGGGAACCTAAGGTCTCCATTTCCAATAACCTCTTGGGATTTGGGAAATGGAGATGATAGTGTGATTGTCTAGTGCTTTGCTCCACAACAGTGTGCAATTTTGTGAGGATTTTTTAAAAAACAAATACCTTTGGGTAAATCCTACAGTTGCTTGACTTCCTTCTGTCAATTCAACCCAAATATGCCACTATTATCCTGCTTCTTATCACCAATTATGGGATTCTGAAGCTATTTTGGGTACCATTGTTTGTCCCAGCAACATTTACTTTGTAGGATCCAAGGACCAAAACATGCATGCTAAACCAACTATGATGACAACTACTGCAACTTTGTGAATAGAGGCTGGCTGATGACAGCCTTTTTCCATGCTTAGCTTGTACATCTGCCCCTAAATCAGAGGTGGGTTGCTACTGGTTCACACCAGTTTCGGACGAACTGGTAATAGAAATTGTGACTGAGTCACCGAACTGGTAGGAATGGCAGGCTTGCCATGTCCCCGAATCAGTTCCCTGATCACTCATGTTGTTGGTGGCATGTTTTTAGTCATTTTATAATGTTCTGCGCATGCAGCGTACGCACGAAGCAAACTGGCAGTAATGCTGGCAGCAGCCCACCCCTTGCTATAAATCCTGCTTTTTATCCCATGTTCACTTATATAATGTAATATCATTCTTGTCCTGTGAGATGAAAGAGCATGGAAAGCAACTATTCCAAAAGACAGAAATCTAGATGTCAACTAATTGCTGAGTCTGGATCACTAAAGGAAGAAATAGCACAAACCGAAATAAAAATGTTCTTCTCAGCTCACAATGAAAACAGCTGCATGAATATAAATAATGTCTTTATGTGCTACTTCTTCAGTTTTTCTAATCAAATGAAACTATTCACTTTTGAAGCAAACTCTCAAGATGGTAGAGTTGCTCAAAAGAGCATCTATCCAGTCAGAGTAATGCTGCTAAAATAAAGAATAAATTCGCTGGGACAGCAAAACACTTTGATCCAAACCGCATTCTGTCCTCCCCAAACTTGTCACTTTACAATAACCACAGCCATCGTCTCATTAAACAATGAGGACAGTAATAAATAATTTGTTTACACAGGAGCTTTAGGTTGTTGTTGTTTTTGCAATACTATGTGGATATTTAATAAATTAGTTTATCAGCAATGACTTTAATTTCCTCATTACACCCAACATAGGATTTAAATGATTTTTTTTCTTACATCTCTCACTACAGCAGTGGCCAAAATTGAGATTTGATGGCTAATAACACCACTTTTTTTAAATTTCAAGATAATCATATTCCACTGCTGGAATGGTCTGGGAATAGCCCAGATCTTAACCCAATTAAAAATCTATGGAGCCAAATAAAGAAACTTGTTAGTCAGAAGCGACCCAGCAATAAAACCCAGTTAAGAGAAGCAATAATTCAATCTTGGTTTCACATTATAACAGCTGCAGAACTGAAAGATTTGGTTGACTCCATGGGAAGATGTTGTAAGGACGTAATTCATGCTAAAGGTTACCCAACTAAGTATTAACTGACAAAGTGATAATTTTTGTATATTCATTTTACTTTTCTTATAACTGCTATTCTAATAGCAAATACTTCTTAAAAATTATTGCATTACATTCTTGATTAAATTATCTTTCCATTGATATAATCTTATGCAGTGGTGAGTTCCTACCAGTTTGGACCAGTTTGGCTGAACTGGCAGTGAATTTGGTGGTCTGGCAGCCGTAGGTTCCGCCATCTTATTTTTTGCTTCTGCGCATGCACACAGGGCACGCACACAAGCAAACCAGCAGTAGTGCCCGTCGGAACCTACCCCTAATCTTATGGTACTACTCCAAAAAAAGTGATGTTATTAGCTAGTTTTAGAAAATACACTTGTCCCAAAAGGTTTCCACAATTTTGGCCACTACTGTAGAAGAAAATTTGAAAATAGCTCCTTCCACCTAAAACCAAGGTACGGCATTACTTACCCTGTAATAATCTGTGCTATATACATCTCTTGACATCCCAAAGTCTCCAATCTTCACCAGTAGGTTCTCCCCAACCAGGCAGTTCCGAGTAGCCAGGTCACGATGCACAAAGTGCTGTGATGCTAAGTAAACCATACCAGCTGCAATTTGCTGGGCAATGTGCAGCATCTGGGATTGGGTTAATTCAGCTAAATGACTCCCTTCAGCCATCAGAACTGCATCAGGTCCATGCGCCCTGTGTGGAAGAGAGAAGAAATGTAGGAGATCCAATGATATCTGTCCAAATGATAGCCTTCAGAAGAAAGCAGGAGGATGGGAAGGAGGCATGATGGAAGCAACAAGGCCAGAATTCATCAACTGGGCCACTTACTCTCCCTCAGCCCAGCCACGTTTGCTACTGTGGGGGAAAATGAAAGAAGAAACCACTTAATATGCCACTTTGAGCCCCTGAATGAAAGGCAGGATGCAAATCTAGGAAACAAACAAATAATAAGACTTTGAACAGTATTGGTTAGTTATAGATCAGGGGTAGGCAACTATGTCAATTTTATGACCTGCAGACTTCAACTCCCAGAATTCCTGAGCTAGCTGCCTCAAGAATTCTGGGAATTGAAGTTCACAGGTCATAAAGTTGCATAGTTTCCCATCCCTAGTCTAGATACAGAAAGCTACGTACCTATAGATTCCATCTGTGGAAGAAAAATGACATATCCATTAGTACATTTTGTTACTGTTGCCAGTTATTGTTTTTTGAAACTCTATTTAGACGCATAGATTTTAACATTACAACTTAACATATCTCCTGTTATAACATTTCTCTTCCTAAATTATTTAATTTTATACTTTTTATCCATATTCATTTTCTAACCAATGGTTTGATGAAACTTCTGGTTTTTGGCAGCACCATACCATAGTGAACATTGGATCTGCACTTATAACTGCATCATTCATTACATAATTGTGGCATTTACACTTACAACCATTGATTTCTCTTAACCACAATAAGCATCATAAAATTGGGTCAGTCGTTTGACAACCGTTACAACTTGTGATGCTGATAAAGATATTCCATAATGGTCATAACCCAAAGACTATCTATAAACTCTTTATTTACATATTGAAAATGAATTAACTTGATTTCTCAGTGAAGCACCAACAATTTTCCTTTTCCTGCTATTACAGCACCACACCATCCTGTTCTGAACATATTTTGTTATTTTTAAAAAATAAGTCATTGTACCTTCCTGCTATTTCCGCTTAATGCCGATCAAAAACATCTATAATATGCATCCCTGATCAAAAACCTTTCTTTTCCTGCTTATGCAGGAATCACTCAACTCTACACTTCATTTTCATGCTACTTTTCAGGGACGTGTTCTCTTTCTTCTTCCTCAACATAATGTGAGATTTCAACAAGTGCCATGTCATTATTGGATGATGTGCTTGCTATTTCTATTTCTGAGCTATAGAGCTGCGAATCAACTCTTTTCAGATAGTAGAAGCACAGATCAAGGTTGCTCAAATTAAAGATCATGTAGTACATGCACTTCAGAGCCACTGGATACTTTGAAGCTCAGAGAACACTTCGCTGAAGATCAGATACAGACATACTCTTGCCTGTGACCAAATAGGAGTGTAAAATTGAACATAACAGAACACTTCCAAGGGGCTGAAATATCATCAGCTTTTAACAGAGCTCTGTGATCTAGTCATGTTGTCTTTCTACCCATTCTTATCTCTCCCCACAAAAGTCTATCCATTCAATGTAATTTTCTGCAGTTATATATCAAGACTATCCCAGGCAATGGTGAAATTCAATTTTTTTCACTACCGGTTCTGTGGGCATGGCTTGATGGGTATGGCAGGGGAAGGACACTGCAAAATACCCATTTTGCAAAATCTCCATTCCCACCCCACTCCAGGGGAAGGATACTGCACAATCCCCATTCCCTCCCCACTCTGGGGCCAGCCAGAG